CCCCTCCTCCTCCTCCGCCTCCCCCCTCCTTCTCCTCTTGTTCGTGATCCTGCTCCTCCTCTTCCTGCTGCCCCTTTTCCTCGTGCACCTGCGCCCACGCCCCCCCTTGCAGTGGAGCGCACGTCGATGTTTCTCGGCGCCGTCGCCTCCGCGGCTTCCTCCAGGATTTTGATGCCAATGTCATGATTTTCAGGAGGGGAACCCACACAGACTCAATTAATCGTCGATTCCCTGGAACATATGCGAAAGTATGGGCAGAGGGGGGGAACCCAAACACCCAGAACATATAGGAACAAATGTGGAATCCTGTCATTTGTTTGTATTTATTTGTGTGTCTCAGGGCCCTTTCAGATTTTTGATGACCCGCTCGGATTGCTAACATGATCTGGCGGCCCCGCAGGGAGGTGGTTCCCGCCTGGGACTTCCTCATGATTGAATATCTCCGTCCTCTCTGCTCCCATACTGATCTCTCGCTGTGCCCTCGCTGCCTTCTCTGCCAATTTGTCCTTCTGCTCCTTCTATTGCCATTGCTGCTGGCACTGCTGCCAGGATGCAACACCTGGGAGGTTTGAATTCTTCATCGGCGCTGGCATATCCGTGGGCATAATCTCGTTTAGTCCTGGCGAGATTTATTTAAGTTGGTTTCATCTGGCTTAGTTCCAGGCTGGTTGATAGAGAACGCCTCCCAGGAGTTGCTTCCTGACTGCTGCTTCTCCTGCTCTACCTCCTTGTGCGCGAGGCCCTAAGCCGCAGCAGAGATGGATTTCCAGAACAGGGTCGGCCACAAGATGGGCGCCCTGCCCGCTGCTTCTTGATCGCGCGCGCTTGCGCTCGAGCTCGTGCCAGCAGTAGCCCTGTAGATGCACACTGAGTGTGTGTGTGTGTGTATGTGGTTGTGTGTGTGTTGGGTAGTCTGGCCGGCTTGGCCCACTGGTCGTCGTGTGGGTGTTTGGTTTTTCCTTTCGCATAGCCTGCGCGCTTGTTGGCAGTCACTTTGGATCGGTCTATTGCATAGACCGACCCGCGATTCTCACAAAGTGTGTGTGTGTGTGTGTGTGCGTGCGTGCGTGCGTGCGTGCGTGCGTGCGTGCGTGCGTGCGCTGCATGCTGGAGGGCTTCGGCTGGTGCTGAGACGGACCAGCACTGGTTCCGTCCAGCAGGAAGGGGGAGAAAGGGCCTCCCTCGTCGCGACGGCTGGACGCGGCTCGACAAACTTGTCAGTTTCGACCGCGGGAGGAGTTCGGGGGCAGAGTTCAACCAGATTTTCCGTCGTTCCCCCTTCTTGACCTTCGCGGGGCCCATCCCCTGGCCGTTTCCAAGCATGTGTGTGTGTGCTTACTCTGCCGCCGACGTCGGTCGCGCTCTGTTTCTGCATCGCGGCGGCCCGTGACGGGCCGCCGTGATGCAGGCCACCCGTTTTGGAACAAGCGTGTTTATGTGTGTGTGTGTGTGTGTGTGTGCTCCGCGCGCGCGCCTCGCCCCCCGCGCCCACACCGGGCGCGGAGGGCGGCCCCGCCGTGACCCGGGCCTGGCCTCGGCCTGTCCCTTTTTCCCGTCCTCTGGCTGTGTCCGCCCCCTCTGATGCCGCCGCCCTGCGTGCAGTCCGGTCTCGTCTCCGTCCGGTTGCTGTTTCCCTTCTGCGCCATCTGCCCGCCTGCCGTGGCCCTCCCTGCATCTCCTCGCGGGGCCGTCATTCCCCCGCAGGGGTTTCAGACCCCCTGCGCTGCGCAGCGTATCACCACTCGACCACTCGACCACTCGACGGGTGTTCTCTCGTCCCAAAGTCCTCGTGTTGCGCCCCCTCTTGGGAGGCCCAGCCTCGGGCGGCGCGTCGCTTCTCCGCCGTCACCCCAGGATCGTGATGCCCCTCTTCCATGATCTCGCGCTGCGTCCTCGCTTGGGAGGTCCAGTGTCGGGCGGCACGTCCCCCCTCCGCCATCCACGCCTGGATGGTTTGTTGCTGCGGGCATGTATGGGATTCAATGCTCTGGCCTTGCTCCGCCCCGACGCTGAATGCGAGTCCGCGACCGCCAAAGTGTGCGTGTGTGTGTGTGTGTGAATGTGTGTGTACGTGTACGTGTACGTGTACGTGTACGTGTACGTGTACGTGTACGTGTACGTGTACGTGTATGTGTGAATGTGTGTGTGTGTGTGTGCGTGTGCGTGTGCGTGTGCGTGTTCGTGTGCGTGTGCGTGTGTGTGTGTGCGCGTGTGTGTGTGTGTGTGTGTGTGTGTGTGTGTGTGTGTGTGTGTGTGTCCGCGCGCGCGCGTGTGTGTGTGTGCTTTGAGTGTGTGTTTCCGCACGCCACTGTCCACCAACCTGCAATGCCCGGTGGAGTTCGATCGAGTGCCGACTTAGTACTTGCGACAGTGCCACCACTTTTTCCGCTTGAGGTTAAAGAGAGAGGGAGAATCGAGAAAGATATAACGAGAGAAAGAGTGTGTGAGAGAGAGAGAGACAGAGAGAGAGAGAGAGTGTGAGAGAGAATGCGGGCGAGAGAGAGAGAGAGAGAGAACAACAAACCAACAAACACAATATTGAGATACCACGGGACCAGGCGACGAAATTTGTAATTTCAATTTCCACTGACCAGGCCCATCAAAGTTCAAGACCGCCGTGTATGCATATCGTGGTTAAGACAGGGACTGCGTATGCACGCTCGTGGTCCCAGGGTTGTCTTGGCCCGGGGCAGTGGATATGCATAAATGTTGGCGCCTTCGGGGGGGTCATAGGAGAGAGCGGGCTGGCCGAGCGGGCTAGCATTGGCTCTTTGAAGGGGCGGACCTCGTGCCACCCCGCCTCGATTTCCGAGGACACGGGCCCAGACCCGACTTCATCATTTTGGTAATAACGCCGACCTCCAGAGTTCTCGACTTTTTCCCCCAATCAGTGCTTGCACTGAAGGGGTCCTAGGCTGGATATTCCCCAATCAGTGTTTGCACTGACGGGGTCCTGGCGGATATTGAAAGATTTGGCGAAAGTTACGGGCCGACTTCGGTGGGTGGTCGAGTTCCCAGGTTCCCAGTTCTGGGTTCCCGGGTTCCCGGTTCCGGGTTCGGGGCCGATTTGGGTGGGCGGCGGGGTTCCAGGGTTCCCGGGTTCCTGGTTGATCTTCTTGTCGATCGGTCTCACCATCGATCTCATTACCCATCTTTGCATCGATCTCACTATCGATATTACAATCGATCTCATTATCGATCTCCCAATCGATCTCACTATAGATAGCACGGGCGATTTCACGATCGATCTCATTCTCGATCTCATTGAATCGACTTCACTATCGGTCTCACGATCGACCTTACAATCGTACTCACTATCGAGTCCACGATCGATATTACAATCGATCTCAATATCCACATCAGTAGTTTGGTTTGTCATCCCGACTCGAGCCTTTTTGGGAAGTTCCCGGGGCCTGGCGCGGACACCCCCGTATGAACTCGAAACAATTCCCCGCGGTGATTTGGGTTCACGACGCGGGGGGGTCTGGGGGGTGAGGCAGGCCGGTCGAGGACGTCCATGGGGTCGTCCATGGGTGATCTTTGGGCATTCGATTGCCACAGCACTTGGGCTTCTTGGCGCTGGGCGCCGGGGGCCTTCCAGGGGCTCGCATCCCGAACGGCCTGGCGGATGGGCGTGGGGGGGTACGCTCTGTGGTTCAAGCAGTGGCGAAGCGTACACTTCTGGTCGGGACTGCCTTGTTTTATCATAGCGGGTGTATGTTCTAAGAACACTGCTTTTGTTCTCAGATAATTTTGGGGTTCTAAGACAATTTCGTGGTAGGACTATAGGAATGCCAGGATGGTCGGTCCCTGCTCAAGTGGTTGGTCAAGGTGTGGATGCGGATGTGGATGTGCTGTACGGCGGCAGGTGCAGCGGGATCCAAAACGATACCCGAGGGCCCCGCCGCGGCACCGCGTGCTGCATTAATATCCTGTCTCCATTTCGTCGCTGCGCGCGGGGCTGCTACCGCGAAAAACAGTAGGGTATCAACGAGGATGAATGATGAGTAGCATTAGGAGGGAGGAACCAACACATTTCTCCCAAACCGCCCCCGACAAATTAACACGTTCGCTGTAATATCACCAGCTTCAATGTCCCACGGATTGTAGGGTCAGGATATCTCCCTCCAGAGCGTTCCAGGCTGGTCTCGGAGCTTTCTGGAACTCTGTGGAACGGCCGCGTCGCCCGAGAAGTACATCTTCCAGACACGATAGCTCTCCAAGACCCCAGTCTGATTCATCCTCATCCGGATTGTCCTCATCATGCCTTCGTCTTGCTTTTGCCTTGGGCCCCTCTTCCGTGCAGCGTGACTCGACTCCGCGCGTGGGAAGGTACCGGCGGCCCGGCCACCGACCAGGAGGTGGCCATGGACCGCAGGGAGCGGTTGCGGAAACTGGCGCTGGAGACCATCGACCTCTCCAAGGAGTGAGCGGCCGCGTGCGGCCTCGGCGCCTACTCAGTCAGGCCCAGAGCTTCTGGGAGCGTTTCTGAAACGGTGGCGCCGCGTGATACATCCTCCCAGACCCGCCATCTCTCAGCGATTTCCGATGTTTTTCAATCCGGGTTTATCGGAACCTACCTTCCGCAGTACCTACTTCGTCCATTCGGTCCCCTCTCCTCCTCCCCTCCTCGTCGCCCATGTCCTGACCTCCCCGTTTCTTGGCACAGTGCGAGGGCTGCGGGGTGTTTCTTTTGTTCGAAGATCTTCAGTGGTCCTGCTTCTCCCACGGGGGATTTGTTTCGTTTCTACTGGTCTGCCGATTCACAGGTCCTCTGCGGGACCTTCTTGTTCGCCGTGCTGGAATTCTCCGGTCCGATCTCGGGTCATCGATTCGCTTGCCGAGCCCCTTGATCCCTCGTCCTCCCTCCTCCGTTCTTCGTCCCTCATCCTTTTCCCCCCCGTGGACAAACGAACAACACGTACCCGTACCCATAGATGGGACGGCGGTGGCTATGGGTGCGTGGTGTCCGATGGGGGTCCCCGCTCGAACGGGACGCGGGCGGTGGCACTCGGCTGCGTGCTGTATCCGCGCTCCACAGTCCTAGGGAATCGGAGGGGGGCTCATTCACATGGCTGAAGACGCAGTGCCTGGGCCCGAGATGACCGCCCCAGAGGCTCGTCAAATTTGCGAGCGCGGACGCCATGCTGCAGTCAACTCGTCTGTTCGATGTCGTTTAAGATTCGATACGTGCCCCGCACACGACGACACAGCGGCACAGCCACGGAGTATTGATTGAATCGGCCAGGATCCGCTCTCCACTCTTCGGCTGATGCTGGTGCCCAGCGCCACCGCATAGCCTCGCGTAGGGCCACCCCCATGGACGACACAGGCGCAGTCCCAGTCTCTCAGTCTCATCTTTCCAGGCCGTCTCATTGACATAGTCAACCCGCAGAGTAAGGACGTGCAACGTTCCAAGGTTACCCTTGCATCCTTGCCCCTTCGGCCCTCCTTTGTCGACTTCGCTGGCCAGCCCCTTTCGAAAACGCCAACATCGCCTTCCAAGGCCCTTGCATTCTAACCGCGCATCCTTATGATACGGGTTGACTGTATATCATAATCAGTTGGGCTGGGGCCTCAGACCCAGAGCCCTAGTGGCCGGGTGGCGATCCGCTTCGGCAGGCTGAGCGGCGCGGGCATGGCAGCAGGGCTCGCGAGATGCCAGGCCGCGATTCCCCGCAGCAAGCTGCGAGATCTCGGCCCCGGCTGCGGCGGCCAGGCTGCGAGATCCCGGCCCTCACATGAACAGGTACCGATACCGCTACCCTTGCCTCGTTCTCGCCCTTTTGGGTGTCTGGGAGGCCCTCGTCGCCACGGCTGAGTTCGCCGTGAGATTCTTGCCGGAGAGGTTCGGGGAGCAGCGGTATCGGTATTGTTGTTGTCTCCAGGTCGTGGACCCTCCCATTTGCGACTCTTTGCGAGCACCCTCCTGCGGGTCCAGTCGACGCTGGGGTATTGGCACCACCGCTGCTATGGTTCGCGTGGCTGGAGGCGCCCTACGGATTCTCAGCCCTGGCCGGCGTTTCCGAGAGCTGACCTGCCCGGCCAGGGCTCACATGTGGTTGCCGGCGCCAGTGCCTGCACGTCGTCCTCGAGTGCGCTCGGGGCGCCCGTTCTCCCCGCATTTGGCTAAAGTGCCTTGCACGGTGTGCGGGGCACGCCTGTGGGAGTGGAGGTCAGTAAGGCTAGCCGCCTTTCCGCCCAAGGGTGTACAGATACACCAGGTTTACAGATACATCTATGAATGCACTACTATATTTGCCCAAGTAGTTTGTTTCTGGCAATCTGTTGTGTAATCAATGTGGTGCAATGTACAGTCTGCGTGGTGCAATCTATGTGATTCATTAGATGTCGTGCAGTCAATGTTGTGCAGGGGCAGCGCTGGGTGGGGATACCCTCTCGAGGGGGATACACAGCGACCCTATTTCATGCCTTCTGCGTATCCTTAGCCCCACCTAGCTGCAAGATCGGGTCGGCATCGCCCCTTGCAGGGACAGCGTTGGGGGGGATAGACTCTCGGCGAGGGGCCATGCAGGCGCCACCGTTTCATGAAGGGAGGAGGAGGACGAGGAGGAGCAGGAGGAGGAAGAGGAGGAAGAGGAGAAGGAGGAGAGAGGAAGGGAGGAGGGAGAAGGAGGAGGAGGAGCAAGAGAGGAGGAGGGAGGATGATGAGGACGAGTCGATTCTGCATGGACCCCCTTGGATCGCCGAGAGGGGCCCGGTCGTCCACCCCGCCCAGGAGCGCGCGGGCTCGGCATCGGGGGGCCTGCCGCCGAGGTGACGGTGGCATATCGTCGATCCCAGGTAGATGGAGGAGGAGGAGGAGGAGGAGGATGAGGAGGAGGAGGAGGAGGAGGAGGAGGGGGAGGATGAGGAGCAAGGGAGGATAAGGAATGCCCCCCGCCCCACGACGCAGTTCCCCCTCGCTCTCTCTAGCGGAGGCTGCCGAGGAGCTGCGCGGCAGCGCTCGGTACAGGAGTGCGGGCTTTTGCTGTTGGCCTCGGGCGCCTCGCCTCGGGAGAAGTCTGGTCTGGGCCGTTCTGGGCGCTTCGGCTTCATTCCTGGAGCGTGCGCTGGCTGCGCGTGATCTCGGCCACGACGACACCTTTGGCAATCGCATGTTGGCCAGGGCCACGGGGCGTCGCTCTGCGAAGGGACTCGAGGCGGCAGGGGAGATCGGGCGTCTCAGGACGGAGACTCGCCAGCACTTCTTGGCATCGCTCGGACGTGTGCATGTTTCTCGGCGAGAACCATCGGGGATCATCCTGGACCATCGAGCAAAAAAACGCACGCACGAAACCGAAGAATGTGCGGGAAATGGACGTCCGAGCGACGGCAAGACCTCGTCTCCCTCCTCCTTCCCGCCTCCTGTGAGCTCGCCAGACTTCAATGATCTGGGGTGGTCAGCATCGAAGCATCACACGTGCAGCCAGGACGCGGAAAGTAAGGATCTCCTTGGGCTCGGGAGGGGGCTCCAGCGTTCGGGCCGCGCCTCAGATCCAGGTCGGGGAGCCTACGTGTGTGGCCGAGTCCGCCGTGTCCAGGGAAGCTCCTTCGTTCCTTGTTCTATGATGTTCCAACCTCCTTTAGCCTGAACAACCAGAAAGAATTTCGAGCACCAAGAACGTGCCGAAACTGGAGGGTGTCGGGCTCTGGTAGGTGATACTCGTTCGACACCGTCTCGATACTTTCCTGGGTGCCCGACATTATGTTTGGGACCTGGTCCTGAAGTACGATGAGAGCAACATAATCCTTATTCCGATGTCCTGGTGGTAGCACGATGCATGTATTTCATTCTTCGCGGCGCAGGATGCACCTTTGTACACAGGCTGGTGGAGACGGAATTCGTCATTTGCAGCCTGGTGGCCCGCACGGTGCCGAGTTGTCCAGTCTCAAATGCGAGCAGCATCTTACACTGTCCTTGCGGGTCGACCTCTGGCCAGTCATAGTGCGGTTCCGTTTCCGCTCCCATGCGAGCATCACTGCTCGACTGGTCGTAGTTATTTCTTGCGTCCTCGCCTTCCCTGCCTTCCTGTGTCCTTATTCACGCATTCAAGTATCATTTCACGACTTCCGTGACAGGGCATCTTGACTTGTGCAGCCGATTATGATGCGGCTCACGGCCGACTCTGCTGTGATTCATCATTCGCGTGGACGGGCTAGCTCGTTCTCCTTTTCCTCCTTGTTGCGCCTCTCAATGTAAGCGCCCTCCAACACACACGCCTCCCTCCGGCGCCCCGAGCCAACCGGGGGAGGACCCGTACTTCCTGCGGAACCACCTCGGGAGCTACGAGTGCAAGCTTTGCCTGACTCTTCACACAAACGAAGGCCGCTTCCCCCGCCCACTCCCTCCCCCTCGCCCGCCCGCCCTGCTCTCCCTTACGCCCCCCCTCTCTCGCCCCCTCGCCCACCGGCGCGAAAGGAGGAGGAAGATGAGGAGTGTACTGGACAAGACAGACCAGAGTGGGGAGGGAAACAATGTTTGAATGGAATGCAGGAAGTGGGAGTTTGGAAGAGTGGGGCCGCACAACGTTGTGGCTCAAGCTTTTTCCCAGGTCGTCCAGACGTCTTCGGATGTGGCATCAGGCTGGCGCTTGGGCCGCGGAGGTCTGGTAGTCGGCGCTGCGTGCAGTGAGAGCTCGAGGCTCGGCCGGCCCCTCCCCCCTTTGTCTTTTCCTCTTCCCGATTGTACCGTGGAGGCGCAGGCGGGTTGGGACCGGTTGAACATGCGGAGGTTTCGAGGCCGTCTAGACACCTCCTGCCCTGGAGCGCCCTGTAGGTGCGCGCAGTCTTCCTCGATCTCCGCCTTGTTCTCCTCCTCCTCCTCCTCGTCCTCGCCCTCGGTAGTCAGCTTGACAGGGTAATTTAGTTTATTTAATCGCTTCGCTCATGCCGCCGGCCCTGGAGCCCTCTTTAGGGCCTCTTGGGGGCCTCTTGGGGACCTCTTGGGAGTCTCTTGGGGCTCCTTGGCGGCGTTTTGGAGGCCCCCAGGGCCTCTTGGGGGGCTCTTGGGGGTAGTCGATTGCGGCTCCCCCCTCGGAGGCCACGATCCTCGTGAGGGGTGTCGAAAAATACCCTCCCCTGGAGTGGTCTGGTGGCTTCTCCCGGGCTTCTCTCGGGACCTTGCCGGGGTACTTTTCGTCCGGGGGCCCCCAGGGGCCGCTCCGCGCGCGCGAACTAGAAATATTGTTAACAAGTTACCGGAGATCTTAGCACGCCTCTGGCCCGTTGGGCCGGCGAATTTCAGTTCATGTCTTGCTGGTCGAAATTTCCTATTATGCTTTCCGTTGCCGCCGTGGTTGGGGCCACCGTCAGGCTCGGCCCTTGCGTTTCGATTTCGTTTCAGGGTCGGCGATGCTCCCGCCGAAGGCGATGGCACAGCTTACACATCGAGTTCCAAGCGCAGTCTCACTGCCCTCGTGCCCATTCCTCGTCCTCCGGCTGCCATTTGCGGGCCTGAGTCGCCGACTTTGAAGTGCAGCCTAAAATACTTGATGTGACGCAGCTCGCCACTGTGGCATGCATTCTTGCACGGAGTGTCCAACCGAGTTGGCCGCGTTTTCCCCCCTCTTCTTCTCATTCCTCCTCCTCCTCCTCCTCTTCCTCCTCCTCCTCCTCTTCCTCCTCCTCCTCCTCCTCCTCCTCTTCCGTAGCCATTTTGGCTCAAGATGCAGGGTTCCTCTGGGAACCAAGCGGATACCGCTAGTCCGCGGCAGGCAAGGCTTCTTGAAGCCTGGCATCGTTTCCTGGCCACCCTCCTCGCGCTCGGGTCGGTGGGTAAACGGAGGCCTTTCCCGTTCCTGTCGGCTCGAACGCATCCAGCTGCAGAGCCATGGCAGGAGCTGGCGCTGGTGCAGCGCGTGACGCAGCTCAGGGGACGAGTTGGCGTTGCAACCGCTGCCACTACAAGAACCTGGGCTGGCGCGCGAAGTGTCGGCAAGCGGGGTGCACGGGCTGCAGGCCGACCAATCGTGTACCTGCTCCTCGTTCTGGCCCTCCTCCAGCGCGTGGGGCGTGGGCGGACGGTGGTGCAGACTCCCGCCCTTGGCATACGATGGCCAGCCCGAAGCGTGGAGGTGGCGGGGGCTCTGGGGCGCAGCCGCCCAAGCTCTCGCCCGAGGCCCGCGACCGCTTCATGGCCCTCAGCGACGACGACTTCGAGCTGCTGTCCGTCACGCTGGCCGCCAGCGACAAGCACAGCCTGCGACAGTCGCGCTTCTTGCTGCAGCAGCAGCTGGGCGCGCTGTCCGATGTCAAGTCCGTCAAGTCTGCGCAGGTCGCAGCCGACGAGGCCTGCAAGCGGCTCCAGCAGGCCAAGGCGGACTACAACAAGAAGCAGAAGATGGTTACGGAGGCGCTGCAGGCAGCGTTCCAGCAGAAGGAGAAGGTCGCGCAGCTGCAGCTCGAGCTGGACGAGGCCGTCTCCAAGGCGAAGGCCGCGCTCGCCAACGGCGCCGAGCCCAAGCCAGCTGCTGGAGGAGCAGATCTCAGCGGCATCCTCGGCAACGTGGAGAAGCTCAGGACGCTCGTGGGAACCTCTTCGGAGAGCCAGGGCGTCCAACTTCCAGAGTCCTTGCTGGGACCTCTCCAAGCGCTGCTGGCAGGTGTGTCCGCGCTTGCCGCGCCACCTGAACCAGTCGCTGCTGGAGGATGCGATGGAGGAGCTGCACCTGCAGGCCGCGCTGCCGCCGCCGCTGGGGCAGCCGACGATGCCGCTGAGAAGCCCGTGGGCAAGTCCGAGGACATGGACCTGGAGAGCGACCCCCTGGCCTTCGCGACGGGCGACACCTTCAAGGCCGCGGCGGAGGACTTCATCGGCACGGACGCGGAGAAGCGGAAGTTCCTCGAGGAGTTGCAGACCCACCTGCAGCAACAGCACGTCGCCGCGATGGAGTCCAAGCGGCGGAAGCTTTAGCCGCAGCAGCTCCTGGCGTGTCGTCACGTTGAATATGAATGCGTATTCGAACATCGACAAGTGCCTGGTCGAGGAGCTGACGAGCTGCGACGCAATTTTGTTCCAAGAGACGCGGCTGGGAGAGGCGCGCACGGCGGACGCTGAAGGGGAGCTTCGCCGTCGTGGGCTTCGAGCATGTGGTGCTGCCGCGGTGCAATCGCTGGCCGGAGGGCTGGCAACTGGGGGGCTGCTCACCTGTGTGCGCAGTGAGCATGGCCTTGCCACCATGCTGGGGTCGCGGCCTTCTGTGCTTCAAGAAGGGCGCGTGCAAGTACTCCATCACTCGGGGCTGCTGCGAGGCGGCATTGTGATGGCCAACATCTACCTGCAGTCAGGCGTCGGCGTCAACGCGTTCAACGCCCAGATGCTGCGCGACCTGGCCTGCAGGCTGCGCGAGTACGGTCGCCCATACGTGGTCGGGGGCGACTTCAACTGTACCAAGCAGGAGCTGGCCAAGTCAGGCGTGCTGCGGCTCTTCGACGCGGTCGTCGTCGACACGCTGGAGCCCACCTGTGCGCAGTCGAAGCGGACGATCGACATGTTCATCGTCTCGCGTGGGCTCAAGGTGACCAGCATCAGCGTGGTCAGCGGGTCGCCCGTCTACCCGCACAAGCCAGTCATCCTGGAGCTGGAGGCGTGTCGCCAACGGCCGTGGGTTCGGGTCGTGCCAGTGCCCAAGCCCTTCCCTGTCCAGCGGCCTGCTGGATGTGCTCGCGTCGCACACGGCGACCGCTGGGCCGAGATCGGTCACGAGCTGCAGAGCGTGCTGGCAGGCGCGCAGGAGTCGGAGTGCCTGGACGTTTCCCGTGGGACCTCACCGCCGCCCGTTGCGGGGCCCGTGAGTGAGGGAAGATCGTGCCACTTGGAGGAGTGTGTGCGGGATCAGGTCAAGGGTAGCACCGACGTCGAGGGTAACCTCACCGCCGCATGGCAGAGGTTCCTCGACGCAGCCGAGGACGAGTGGATCGACATCTACCAGGTCGAGGAGGACAGTTTCAAGCACAAGGGGCGAGCTCGCCCCGTGGAGCCACGTTGGCTTCGGCGGCTGCCCGTGAGTGGCGCCAGCTGGCCGCGGGTCTCGGCTGAGGCGACATGGATGCACCGCGCTGCCAGCCTGCTGCGGGACATCGCCGACGTGGAGCAGCCCAACGCGCGTCTCGACGCTCTTCGAGGTGCGCGGAGGCTGCTAGACAGAGCCCCAGCCACAGTGAAGGCGGCACCTGATGCTGGCGAGGTTCTGTCCTGCCCTCAGGTGTTGCCCCAAGCTGTTGCATGGTGGTCGCTGCTTAGCAACTTGCGCTTGGCGGCGCTGACCCCCGCTGAGCTGCTGCAGCTGCACGCTGGGGCGCAAGCGGTGGCGCTCGACATGGCTGAGAAGGACATGGCCCAGCGCACCGTCCAGTTCCAGCACTGGGTCGAGAAGCAGGCCGAAGGCGGTGGAGGTGGTCTACATGCGGTGTCCCGCCTGCCCGTCGGGTTCGACTCCAGCCCGTACGGCGACGCCGTGGGCGACCAGGACGCCGACGACCACCAGCAGCTGTTCGAGCCCATGGACCTGGGGCAGCAGGTCACGGCGCTGGAGGTCGAGTGGAGCCGCTGGTGGAGGACCACCTGTGAGCAAGTGCGGCTGCAGTGGCCAGCCGACCTCGGCGAGAGGCCGCCCAGGCCCACGGTCCCCGAGCTCCGCAAGGTGCTGCGCTCGTTCAAGGGCAGCACGGGCATGTCCTTCTGCTCCGTTCGGCCGCGGCAGCTAGACGAGCTGTGCGACGAAGCGCTGGAGGTGCTGATCGACATCCTGTTGGCCGTCGAGCGCGAAGCAGCCTGGCCGCTCATGACAACCAAGATCGGCTTCATCCAGAAGCGGCTCGGCGGCGTCAGGCCCATCGCCGTCATCATGGTGCTGGCGAGGGTGCAGGCGCGGCTGCGCCGAGGCGTCGCGCGCAAGTGGGAGCAGGACAACGACCGCCCCTACTGGTGGGCAGCTGCTGGCCGCAGCTGCGAGCGTGCGGTGTGGCACCAGGCCGCGATCGGCGAGTGGGCCACGCAGCGCGGTGCCGACTGCGGGGACGCCGAGTCGTGGGTGGCCGTGGCGGTGCTGCTCGACCTGCTCAAGGCGTTCGAGCAGGTGCGCCACCACTGGCTGCTGGACGCCGCCGTCGCCACGGGGTTTCCCCTCTGGCAGCTCAAGCTGACGCTGGAGCTCTACTGCGCGCCTCGGGTCCTCTGCATGGGCAACGCGGCCTCGAGCGTGATCGAGGCCAGGCAGTCGATCCTCCCAGGTGATGGCTTTGCGACGGCGCTGCTGAAGCTTATTCTGATCGGGCCGCTGGATCGCCTGGTATTACATCACCCGACAGTTTCTCTGGCCGTCGTCGTGGACGACCTCATGCTGCACCGAGTTGGCGGGCTCGTGCGTGTGACTAAGGAGGTGGCAGAAGCAGCGTTCGAGCTCAAGATGCTGCTGCTGGACGTTGACCTCAACGTGGCGGTCAAGAAGTCGAGGGCGCTCTCCAACCTCCCAGCAGGCCGGCACGCCCTGGCCGCTCGGTTACGCCGTCCCCTCGGCGTGCTCTCCGTCAAGGGCGAGCGCAACCTGGGCATCGACTTCGCCTGCGGCAGGCGCATCGTGCGCAAGGTGCGGCAGGAGAAGCTGGTTCAAGCAGGGCTACGCCAGCGTCGCGTGGCCATCCTGAAGACTGGGGCTGGGCGCAAGAAGGCCGTGCGCAAGGTGGCCCGTGCTGGGATCGAGCCCAGCGTGACCTACGGCGTCGCGGTCACGGGCTGCGCCACCATGGAGCTGGACACGCTGCGCACGGCGACCTTCAAGGCAGTGGCCCCCAGCGTTGACGGTCGCTCGCGCACGCTGACGCTTATGCTGACGCCCATGCTGGACCCGATGATCAGGGCCACGCTGCTCCCAGTGCTGATGATGCTGCGCGCGGCGTGGGAGTGCTGGATCCCGCAGCATATCATCGCCTACGGCCTCACTTGCTGCCAGGCGGCGAGCTGGTGCCAGGTCAAGGGCCCCTTCAGCGCGGTGAGGCTCACGCTCGAGAGAGTTGGCTGGCAGGTGCTGAGCCCTACTTTGTGGCGCACGCATGAGGGCTACGACATTCATGTCTTCGAGCTGGGGCCGTGGTCGGTCAAGCGCATTCTCCTGCGAGCAGTTCAAGCATGGCAATGGCGTGAGGTTAGCAAAGGGCCTGGCCTGGAGCACCTCGCGAGCGGGGGGGTCATCGCGCCCTTGATCACGATGACCTCCTCGGGTGCCGTCAGCCGCAAGGGCGTCTTCGGTCGGCAGCTGGCTGTCATGGAGGCCAAGGATCAAGATCCTGTGAGGAGGGCGGCTGTACACGCGCGCATGGTGCTGGAGAAGCGGCTGAGGGCCTACACCACCTTCTGGATCCAGGACATCGCCACGCTTGACGAGGATGGTAACAAGGCCCACTGGCTAAGGCTCTGCGTCTCCTACGTGGCCGACCTGCTGGCGCACGGCACGTGGCTGCCGCTAGTCACCGAGACGGCGCGCTCCCTCGACATCGACAACCTCGGCGTGGCCAGGCTGAAGATGGCCCAGGACCTCTGCGAGTCGGCTTGGTCGGCCAGGAAGCGCATCAGAGCCCGCTACCACGCCAACATGATGCGGCTGGCAGTGCAGGACCCTGACGAGTGGGACGTGCAGGCGGCGCGGCACGCGCAATCCATGATCAGCGCGGAGGAGCAGTTCGACGAGGCGCCTGCCAGGCGCGCCGCGGTGGCCTCAGCTGGTGTCGCCGACGCTGCCTCAGTCCCTCCGTTGGCGATGGCGGTCTGCCCAGAGTTGGCGTCAGGACCCGCTGTCCAGCGGTCGACGTTGCCAAGCTTTGCCGAGCTCGGCGTCAGAACCCCCTGGCCAGCGGTCGCGTCGCCACATGCTGAGCTCGAAAGGTCAGGACCCGCTGGCCAGGGGTCTACGTCGCCTGTTTCTGCTGTGCTCGAAAGGTCAGGACCCGCTGGACAGCGGCCAGCGTCGCCACGCCATGGACGAGCAACAGTGCAGACGAACCATGGACCGAATCCCATGGAAGGCAAGCAGTCATCCATCAAGCTCACGCTGAAAGAGCGAGGGTATCTAGCATCCGTTGTCACCGACGGCCAGTGGTGCCAGAGCCGCAAGTACGAGAAGGGCATGGCCTCGGACGACTCGTGCTTGCTGTGCGGCGAGGTCGGCACCCTGCTCCACAGGCACTGTGGCAGCTGCGCGGGTTGGCCGCCAGAGCTGAGGCTGCCCGACAAGATGCGCGAGCTGGCGGCGAGGTCGGACTTGCCCGAAGTGCGCTGCCTGCTGGAGCGCGTGCTGTGGGCGGCGCCGACTAGCATCGTCAAGCCAGCCCCGTCGCCGCACGTCTGCTGGCTGGGCGAGAGCGACGGCTTCTTCCCCTCTGGCGAGCTCTACCTGGACGGCTCGCAGTACGAGGGCGACTTCGAGCAGTGCGCGAGCGTCGCCTGGGCCGTCATCGCGCTCGAGGCCGACGCCGACGCCTTCCTGTGCGGGGCGTCGGGGATGCTGTGCGAGCCCCACGTCGACATCAACGGCGGTGAGCTCATGGCGCTCCTGATGGTCCTCAGGTTCGCGGTGCCGCCCGTCACCGTCGTCGTGGACAGCGGCTTCGTGCACCGCGGCCTGCTGGAGCTGGGCCCGAGGCGCACCACCGCGCACGGCGCGGCGTGGGCCCACCTCTGGAGGGAGGTCTGGGCCAAGCTGGAGGACTTCGGCGGCCTGGGCGACGGCGGGCTGAAGGTCAGGAAGGTCCCCGCCCACCAGACGCAGAGGGAGATGGTCGCCCACGGGAAGATCTCGTACCGCGACTGGCTGGGCAACGGCATGGCGGACAAGGCCGCCAAGTCGGCGGCGGCGGCAGGACGGATCCGCCAGCAGGATCGCAGGAGGCTCGTCATGGCCGACAAGCTGGTCGAGGGCGTCGCGCTCTGGGTCTCGGCGGTGGGCGGCGCGCTGGACGGCAGGGACACCACCCACCGCGTGGCCAAGCCGCAGCGCCCCGCGCCGAAGGCGCTGCTGGCGCAGCCGGCCGCCAGGCTCTCCTGTGCCTGGCGCGGGGAGCCTGGCAAGCGGTGGTGCAGCCGCTGCCGCTGGGTGGAGCGCTCAGGCGAGTGCCCAGGCACCATCGTGCCAGCGGCGCTCCAGCACAACGCCGAGCTGGCCGCCAGGGGGCTCAGCACGCACGTGCTCGTGCGCATCGAGCCCGAGCGTGACGTCGAGCTGCGCCGCGACATGCCGCTGGTCGCGTGCGCCGCCTGCGGAGCCTTGGGGGCGGCCAGGGCCTCCAGCTTCGCGCCGCCGTGCGGCCGCGCGTCGGCCAAGGGGCTGCTGGCCGTGGCGCGCCTGGAGAGGCGGCTCGCCCCTGCGATCTCGGGCAAGGTCGCGGTGGCCATCAACCCGCTCAGGAGTGAAGGGTGACGGCCAGCTTCCCCTCCTCCTGGCGCGGCGGGCCGACGGCCTGTGTGGCCCGTGAGGCCGTCGCGCTGGCGGCACGCCGAGCCCGAGGGGCCGTGGCGTGCGGGCGCTCGCTGAGAGCGCGAGCCCGTCGCGCGTGGGGCGCGCGGCGAGCGCGGGCGGCGGGTCACACGCGCCGCCTGAGGCTCGTGCATCCTCCTCCTCCTCCTCCTCCTCCTCCTCCTCCTCCCCCTCCCGCTCCTCTCTCCTCGTTGGCGTGGTGATGGATGCGCCGGGTTGGCCGCTAGGGTCACTCTGCTCAGGCACTGTAATTTTTTCTTCTGATTGCTGCATTTCTCCTACAGACTGCAAGTGGTAAATGAGGGTGCAGCGGCGCGTTCGTCCCCTCAGCTTTCCTCCTTCTCCTCCGAAATTGCGCTGGAAAAAAAAATCAGGCTGTCGCTTGGGCGTGGGAGGCTTCACTCACGTACTTCGCCTCCTGCCCCAAGGCTCCTCCCTGCCCCAGTTGTCCGCAGTGTCCTGCGATACCGACGCTGCCGGCCTGCACCGCTTGCCCCGGCGCCCCCGCGCCATTTGCCTCGCCGTCGGCCACCGGCGGACCCGCGGCGCTTCCCGACCTGCGCCTGGTCGTGGCCTTCGCGGGCTTGCTGGTCCTGGCGAGCTGCGGGTACTTGGGCGCGGCCCTGGTGACGGTGTGGGGCGCAGGACGCCCGCTCGGAGTACGCGCGAACACGGCCGCGGCGGCGGCAGAGAGCGTCAAGCCGATACAGGACCAGGAGGCCGAGCTCGGCAACCTTGCCCAGGAGCAGCTGAGCTTGCTCCGCCAGCGGTGCGGTCGCGCGTGAAGTCATGGCGGCGGTGTCTTCACCGGCCGTGCAGGGCCTCGGGATCGAGGCTGGGGATTTCGGAGCTGATCAATATACCGTGCCAGGCGCTCGTCTGTATCACGAAGGGCTCGTTCTCATCGAGCCAGGCGCTGGCACTACCGCGAGCATGCTGACGCCAGGCGGCGAGAACTACGAGGAGGATTGGATGCAGTGGCCGGACATCGTATGGCACGGACTGGTCCTTGGAGGGGTTTGCGGCGGCGCTGCACGGCCAGGCGCCGGAGGGCTCGCGGTGCCTGTCTACCGCTTCCAGCACGTGCGCACGCCCGCAGTCTTCCAGGCCGCTCGCGGTCGCAGCGGCGAGGAGGGGGCTCCCCGTGCCTGGCGACGGCAATCATCCCAACTTGGCTTGGCGCGCGATCGCCTCAGGCGCTGGCGCTGTTCCCGCCGCCCTCGCGGGCGCTGCCGGACATGGTCTTCCCGCTGTCGGCGCTGCAGTTGGTGCGCTGGCCGCTGCCCTCGGCCCCGCGCCTGGAGCTCCAGTCGCTGCCGGGCCAGCCGCAGGAGGAGTGGTTCTACCTGGCGCAGGCGCCGCGGGCGGCTTCCCGCAGGTTGCCGGGGCGGTGGCTGCTGGCGCGCCCGTGGTGGCACCTCTGCCCGTGGGGCCTGGCGGTGTGCTGGTGCCCGCTGGAGCTGCTCCTGCCGTAGTGGTGCTGGTTGTGTGGTGGGTTGTCGGTGGTGGTGGTGCTGGGTTGAGGCGGTGGTGGTGGTGGTAGTGGCGGCGGTGGTGGTAGTGGTGATAAGCGTCGTTGCGTCCCCGCCGTCGTCGGCGCCAGCGCCGGCGCTGCTGGCCGCCGCCAGCGCCAGCGCCAGGGGGGAGTGGAAGGGGGGGGGACACCCCCCCTCGGCGCTCGGGGGGGGTGGGGGATTTGAACCGCCCCCCCCTTGGGCTGCCTCTGGTCATCGTCGCTGCGACCCCGCCGTGAGCGCTGCTGGCGGCCGCCAGCGCCGGCGCCGGCGCCAGGTGGGGTGGGGGGATGGGGGGGGGAGGGGGGGGGTTCGGCAGGGTTTTTTTTGGGGGGGAGGGGAGTCCCCCTGGTTTTGATCGACGGCGCCGAGTGTTATTTGGGGGGGCCCACCCCACGGTTCGAAACGCGCCGCTGAATGTTCCCAAGACAAGCGCCCGTGAAAGATGTTTTTTTCTTCTTTCTCCCTCCCTCACTTTTTTTGCTGCGCGCTCGAAGGGCAAGTCCTCGACCTGCCGCTGGTGCAACTCAAGTCTGGACAACCGGGCTGCGTCGTAGTCTTTGGCCCAGGATGATAGCGCACCCACAAGATTTGCTGCTGTGCGGAAAACGTACCCAACCTGAATCCACACAGTGTTTCATCTGCTTGGCGTCATGTCGCTACTCCTGTTTCGCCGTGGCGCTTGACTGCCGTGCCACTCAAACACAGGAAATCAGCATTTGACGTGCGGTCACGGATGTACTGCACACGATCGGAGGTGTTGACGTAAATAGGATTTGGACCAGGGGATATTTGTTTTGCAAAACTCCTTGTCACCGAGACGTATCACGTATGGCCGAGACTGCAATTGTCTTTGTGACGCCCACAGCGGAACGACGAGGTGCCAGGAGAGACGCGGTGCCCCGATTGCGCGAACGTTGAAGAGGCAGTAGTAAGGGCCACATTCGTGCACAGGATCAGAAATCTATGCTAGCCCTGGAGAGCCAGCGCTTAGGAAAAGGAGGACGAGGACGAGGAGGAGGGGGAGGAAGAGGAGGAGGGGGAGGAAGAGGAGGAGGAGGAGGAGGAACACGAAAAGGATGAGGAGGAGGAGGAGGAGGAGGAGGAGGAGGAGGAGGAGGAGGAGGAGAAGGAAGAGGAGACGGAGAAACGGCAGGGCGGGACGGAGGGTTGGCGCAGAAGGCGAGTCGAGTGGTCCACGGCCACGCCCTCCCCCCCCCCGCCTCCCCGGACATCCGAGGACGCTTTCTCCTCCAGTGAACACATCATCGTTTTCACTTGAGCGGATCTGCGGCCCCCAGAGCTCCCAAGCTTGCGGGCAGTCTTCTCGCCCAGAAGGGCGCAAGGACAATACCGCGTCGCGCGTCGCGACGTGTGCTCTCTGGGGGAGACGGCGCGAGGGCGCGAGGGCGCGAAGCGGCGCGCACCGCGGGGCGCGAGGCGCAAAGTCCGGTGACCTGGCTGTCCGTTCTCGATCCGCTCTTGACGGTCCCCAGGCCTTGGTCATCGGGGGCCTCCGAAAGGGGGGGTGATGACCCGGGGTGCTGGGCCATCATGGCCAGGGGAGGGATATCTCCCCGATGTGATGGGTCTTTCTGCTATATTCTGTCAGCGCGCCCCCAGCCCCCCCCCCCCCCCCTCGTGCGCGCACACCGCCTCGGGCCATGATTTGCCCTCTGGACGTCCCCGAGATGAGGGGCGCTCCGGGAGGCCGAGCTCGAGGCGGGGCGCGCTCGGGCCGAAGCGCGTGCCCGACCGTTCGGACGTACTCTCGGGCCCTTGGCGCGGAGGCAGCTACCTGGCCCACACGCAGGGGAAGAAGCACCAGATAAACCTGGCCAGGCGGGCCGCCAAGGAGAAGCAGGACGCCCCCCCCCCCCGCGCCTCCTGGCTGCTGCTGGCGGGCCGAGCGCGCGCCGCGTGACCTCGGCGCCCCCCCCCCTTCCCTGCAGTCGGGCCTGTCTCTCTACAGGGGGAGAGTATTCAAAGATAGTCAAAAATATAGTCGGGATACTTTTTTCCGAGTATTTTTGAGGCTCTTTTGAATTTTGATGCGTATTTGTTTCTGTCGCCCCAAATTCGGAGGGCACCAACTATACACCAACACCGATCCTGGCCCAGGATCACCCTGGGCCCAGGATCGGTGTATATGCCTTCTTGCCCAAGGCAGGAGGGCGTATACACCGATCCTGGGCCCAGGGTGATCCTGGCCAGGATCGGTGTTGGTGCATAGTTGGTGCCTTCCTACAAGTCCCCATGTAGGGGGACAGGCCCGACCGAACCCTCTCCGCGCCCCGGTGCCCCGAGAGCCTCTGCGCCGGAGGGGGGGAGCCGTCGTCTCGATCTCCCCGTCTCTCTCGGCGGCGAGAGCCTGGCGTGGAGTGCCGAGCGGGCGAGCCTCCTCGGAAGGTTCGGAAGGCGAGGAGTTCCCTGAGCCTTCTCTGATGGGCGTGTTTTCCACCACCACCACCATAAGTTGGAGGGGGGGGTCCTCCTCCTCCTCCTCCTCCTCCTCCTCCTCCTCGTCCTCCTCCTCCTCCTCCTCCTCCTCCTCCTTGCCCCCTCCAGCTTATGGTGGTGGTGGTGGTAAACAGGCTCAACATTCTGCGAAGACAGAGGCTTGTGGAAGGCGATTCATGGAGAGGAAAGCATGCTGCCAAAGATGTTCCAGATGTCTAACACCTGTTTCAGACATGTTTCACAAACACGTGGAGCACATGTTTAGAACATATCTCTCACACGTATAAAAAACACATGTTCAATTCACTGATCGGATTGTTGGAGTGTCCATTGTCATGGCATCCACAGACAGAGGGCGCCTTCGCAGAGGGCAGAAGGTTCTCCGAGAGAAGCCCCGCCCCCCTGCTGTGGAGGGCCCGCGCCCTCTCCCCTGCCCCCCCCGGGCGCGCCGCCGAGTCCCCCCAAAGGCTCGCGGGAGGACGATCCATGGAGAGGAAGCGTGTTGCCAAATACTTTTCGGATGTCTAACACATGTGTTATGCATGTTTAGAACATGTTTAGAGCATGTTTAGAACATGCTGCCCCCCCCAGGCGCGCCGCCGAGTCCCCCAAAAGGCTCGTGGGGGACGGTCCATGGAGGGGGAGCGTGTTGCCAAATGCTTCTCGGATGTCTAACACGTGTGTTATGCATGTTTAGAGCATGTTCAGAACATGTTTAGAGCGTGCTTTCCGCCATTTTAAACACGCCCGCGCCCTCTCACCTGCCCCCCCCGGGCGCGCCGCCGAGTCCCCCAAAGGCTCGTGGGGGACGATCAATGGAGAGGAAGCGTGTTGCCAAATACTTTTCGGATGTCTAACACATGTGTTACGGTAGGTTTGCGTCGTGTCGACCAGCGGCGACCCCAGCGCGGACGTTCAAGGTTGAACGCCGCCGGCGACCCAGAATCGATCGATGTTGAACGATCGGACGTTGCGGAGACGGCCGATCGTTCAAGGTTGAACGATCCCTGCGGTGTCAAAAACCAACGCTGGGGTCGGCACGGCACGAACCTGCCGTATGCATGTTTAGAACATGTTCAGAACATGTTGAGAGCGTGCTTTCCGCCCTTTTAAGCACACTTGAAATTCAGTGGTAGGGTTGTTGGGGTGTCCATGGTCGTGGCACCCGCAACCCCATGCCCTCAGGGGGACAGGCCCCGGGGCCACGTCTCGACCGCCGATCGCCCGTTCATCGCCGAGGGGGGGGCCCAATTCGGAAACGGGAGCACATACATCACCAGTGGCAGGCCGATTGTTCAATTCCAGGGATTGTTGGGGGTCGGGGACGACGCCGGGGTGGAACAACGAGAAAACGTATACACCAAGGGAAACAACGAGAAATACATACACCAGGATCCCGTCTACACCAGGATCCGCGTTTTTGTGCGAATCTCGGCGCAGGGTCGGACAATGCGTCGGTGTATAGAGTTCGTTTACCTACCAATGGCCCACCCCGTCCCAGGAGCGTGGGGGGATTCGCCATCGTGGGCCCGTCGCTGACACAACGGCGATGCGTCGCCGCTTCCAGCTCGACGCTTCTCCGCTGAGGTGGCCCCCCGGGAGCCATGGCGGGCCGCCAAGGGGAAGCCGCCCCCCCTTCCGCTGCCTTCTGGCCGCTCCCGGCGGGCGGAAGAGGGCCGGGGGCTCCTACAAGGTGCCCCTGGATCAAGGCACCCCCCTAGCTTTTGGATCGGTGTTCGAGCCCCTGGGGCCCCCTGGGCCTCGCGAGGGGTGCTCTGGAGACCTTGGAGGCCTCCTCTTGGAGATCGTGGGGGCTTGGGCCATCACCGCCCACCAGACCACCCCAACCCAACCCGAAGGCTCCCATTTGCCCTCCATCTGCAGTGGGGGGGGTTGGTCGGGGAACATTGGAAAAACCCATCTGAAGCCCGCAATTACCCAAGTCCGAAACTCGAGTCTTCGGGTTGGGTTGGGGTGGTCTGGCAGGTAGTCAGGCCAGGGGTTCTTCGAGCAGCACCCGAGAGGGGGGGGGCCGGCGCGCGCCGTGGCCCCGGCGTCGGAGCGCGTCCTGCCAGCGGACCGGCAGGCTTCTGCCGGCAGGTCACCCGGGGGGGGCCCCCGCCCACCGCGGCAGATCCCTCACGCAGAGGTCGCGCAAGCGGGTCCCGGGCTTGCGCGAAGTCCAGATTCCGCCACCGGAGCCCCGACGTGCACGCCAACTCCGCAGTTGGAGCCCCGACTTGGAGCTCCAAGTGCGGAATGGGCGCGCAAGACAAGCGCGGGGGGGGGGAAGGGGTCTCCCGCCCATTGCGGCACACCCCTCACGCGGACCGTGCCCCACAGGGAGCTACACCTGAGAGCCCAATGGGCAAGTCCCCCATCCATTTCGGCATGCACCTCTCACATGTCGTGCCCCAGTGACAAATCCTGCATGCCGACCCCTCCCGACCCCTCCGCCAGCTTCTCAAACGGCGCTGGGCGGAGGGCGCACAAACGAGTCCCGACTTGTGCGAAGTCCAGATTCCCCCTCTCGCCTAGTCACGCCCCCCGCACATCTCCCCTCCATGGAAAGTAAGCTTGCCAGAGACTAAAGGAGAACGACCTCTGGCTTTCCCCTCCCGCGCCCAGTGCTGAAGCCTCTTCAGCTCCAATCAGTAGGCAGTGTCGGTCTCCCTGCACGGTCCACTTCAAACCGATTTCACATCGACTCCGGACTGCCCGATCCGAGTCGATCCCGATGTTCCAGCGGTCCAGTGCGGCTCGACGCTCGCACGGTGTTGTTGTGCATCCTGGCGCGGCCGATCCGGCTCGATTCCGACAAGTGCCGATGCGACTCGTGCGAGGCACGTTCCGATCCGATTTGTCGTTGGATGTTGGCCGCTCCTGTTCCCGTCCCCTCGCCCGTGCGCCTCTCCTCCCCGCCCCGGCCCAAGAAATCCGCGCGGATCTCGGAGGGTCTAACTATTGTGATCTAACGTCTTCCCCTTCTACCACCTCAACCTTAGCCTCCATCCTCCTCTCCTACCTCCCTTCTGGGCTTTGAGAAGACGCGTTGTGCACGCGTTCGTCACATGAGGGCGTCCCCGAAGACTGGGGGGCCTAATTATTCACGTATGTGGCTGGGCGCGCACGTCTTTCCCTGGGCTCCCTGTAGACTGTTAACCTCAGTCCTCCTCCTCGTCCTTGTCCTCGTTCTCGTCCTCCACGTCGTCCTCGTCCTCCTCTTCCTCCTTCCCCTCCCCCTCCTGCTCCTCCTCCTCCTCCTGCTCCTCCTCCTCCTCCTTCTCCTCCTTCCCCTCCTCCTCCTCCTCCTCCTCCTCCTCCTCCTCCTCCTCCTCCTCCTCCTCCTCCTCTCTGGCAACAGGCCACGATAACTAACAACGATGGGTGATGGGTGGGGCCGCCATCAAGGGAGTCGGGGTTGCTGTCGACAGCTCTGCTCTCGAGCAAAACGCGGGCAGGTGCAGGTCGAGGCTGAGTACCGGGCGGCCTGGGCCTTGCCCGCCCGGCCCGAGCCGCCAGTGCGCGCGCGCGCAGGACGCGACCATCGCGCCGCAGCCGCAGACGTCCTCCGGGCCGCGGAAGACGGTGAAGATCGGTAGGCCCGGCTACCGGGTCACGAAGGACGGTCGGGGTCGGGGTCAACGCAAACGGGAGTCAGCCTGAGCGCCAGATCCTGCAGGATCTTGCAGGGCCAGGGTCGCACTGTCCCTGATTCGTGTGACGGGTCCTGCAAGATCCTGCAGGGTCTTGCAGGATCCTGCAAGGAGGCCTGACTGGCCCTGGTCAGGATTGTCAGGTCAGTAGATCCCCGAGACGGGGCCGTGCAGCAGGTTTTTGCTGCTTATGGGGGTCCCTTCCTGGGCCTCGAGACCGTCCAACATCGACTCAGCATGACAAGCCGGTCAAAGGGATGGGGCTGAATTCTCTGGGGATTTCGACGTTGTGCCAAATCATGACGTCGACGTCGGCGGTCTGGGTTTGGGATCGAGGTTCGTGCATCTTTCCAGGTTCTCGGCGGCTTTCTAGCCTGGGATGCTTCCAGCAGCTGCGCCTTGCCGAGAGCGGTCCGAGGTTCGCCGAATCGTCTCGAACGGCCGCTGGGGGCCCGAGGTGCGACCCGAGGGCTGGAAAACATATCCACCTCCTGGTGGATCCGGGGAGCTGGTGTCCCAGGACTCCAGGAAGCGGTGGATATTGATATTCTTGGCCTTCTGGGATGTATAAGCTTTGGCCTCCTAGTATGCCCTGCCATGTCTCTCCTGACTTGGGCTGCGCGCGCACCAGGGTGGCGCGAGGGTGGTGGTCCTCTGAGAGGGCGGGGGGGTTCATAGTAGGCGGGAGCCTTTCCATCAGGGCCCAGAGGCTTCCAAGGTGGCCTGTAAAGCTGGGAGGGCTTCAAGACGCACCCCTGGTTTCGAGGGACCTCGTCTGTCCCCCAAACTGGTGTCTTTTCTTGTGCCCAGCGCAGGCTCGATGCGGATTCGATGCGAAGTGGCGCGGATTCGACGTGGATTCGACTCGGATTCGACTAGTCCGACGTGGATTCGACACGGATTCGTTGCGGACAGAGGCGCGACGGGACAGAGAAGGTCCCTCGAAGATGCAAAATAATCCTGGCTTTCTTAGAACCCTATGGCCTTCTTAGACGCCCTACCCCTCGCGCCACCCCCTTTGTCCTTCGCGTCGCCAGTTTTGCCGTTCGTTTATGTTTGGGCCTTCAGAAGGGTCCTTTTCGTGCCCTCGGGCCCGCACGAACAAGACTGACTCACGGCCAGAAGACCGTAGCAACTGTTTGGGGCGAGAGTTCCAGAGCCCAAGTATTGACAGCACGTTTGAACGTTGTAGTTTTTTTGGGACGCTGTCGCGCGACTCAGCTCAACCCAAGTCCCCCCTTTCTCCTTCCTCCCTCCCCAGTCCCTTCATCCCGTCTTCCCCTCTTCTCTTCTTTCCTTTTTCCCCATTGGAATTCGTGTGCAGCAACTCAAAGTCACCTGGCGTCTTCCACCAAGCGCCTGGTCTTCTCTCACACACTCCCCCCTCCCCCGAAGCCTCCTGGAATTCTCCAGAACGCACTTGGGCATGGTAGAGTCCTCCAAATCCCGCGTAAGTTTTGAAGCATCCCGTGCCTCCTCGAGCACTCTAAAGCGTTGAACACAGTTTGGGTCCATGTGGCACCCGCCTGAATCCCCTGCGGCTTCCTACAGCATTTTGGAGCCGACCACGGCGGTTGAAAGTGTCTTAGTTTGTTGTAGAACGCTCGAAGGAAGGATCAGGCTGTTTCGGGGAAATCCATCCGGCTCTTCGGCGGCAGCCCGCGAGAGAGGCGCGAGAGCATACAGCCCCTCTTTCGTAGGTGGCCGAGATGGACTCGGAGTGGGGCGGCTAACTTCCACGAGCAGTTGGGGGATGTCTACACAGTACCTCCCAACAGCTCGGCAATACAACATGCCTCGAGTGCAATCGAGCGTGCGAGAATAATGGGCCCGAGAGAAGGACTGATGGCGTCGGGCCGCTTCTCAGGACCAGTCCTCAGAGGGGGCCTACAACAACATTTCCCTGGGCTGAACGCAGTTACCGTGTGACGAAAGCAGGGAATCTCCGCCTGAACAACACCTAACACCGAAACATGCCTTTGACAGACTGGCATGGCCAGCAGCGAGGAGCCGTTGCCGACGGACAGCGTCGGCTGGCAGTGCCCGAGGACGGAGAGGAGGAGGAGGCGGAGGGGGTCCGCGGCAAGAGGAGGAGGAGGAGGAGCAGCAGGAGGAGGAGAAGGAGGAGGAAGTGGAGGCCAAGGGTGTCCGAGGCCGCCAGCGCCCTTCGATCCCCGTGGCGCCCCCCCCCCCCCCCTCCGCCTTTCCCCGGCGGCGCCCTGCCCCAGGAGCGCGATCCGGAGACGCAGCAGAAGGCGCTCCTCTTCGAGGTCGAGTATCCCGAGGCGCCGCTTAAGCCAGATCTCAGACGCGTGGGCAAGATTCATATCCATATCCACGGCGTCTTGGAAGTCCCAACCAACCTGTGGTGTTGAGCCTCGGTTTGAAGATACAGCGCCCCGCATTCACACTCCTCATTCTCTCTTCCCCCCCCTCCTTCTCCTCCCGTTCCTCCCTCTCCTTGCGCCCCTCACACGTTTCGTGGCCTCCTAGGGAGCTCCACCGAAGGCCCCCGTGGCAGGGTTCGCATGCGGTTCCACCTCCATTTCGGCATCCCCCTCATACGCTTCGTGGCCCCATAGGGAGCTCCACCGAAGGTCCCAGTGGCAGGGTTCGCATGCGGTTCCACCCTCCATTTCGGCACACCCCTCACACGCTTCTTGGCCTCATAGCTAGCTCCACCGAAGGCACCAGGGGCACGGTTCGCATGCGGTTGCACCCTCATTTCGGCTCACCTCTCACACGCTTCGTGGCCCCATAGGGAGTTCCACCGAAGGCCCCAGTGGCAAGGTTCGCATGCGGTTCCACCCCTCATTTCGGCACATCCCTCACACGTTTCGTGGCCCCACAGTGAGCTCCTCCGAAGGCCCCAATGGCAGGGTTCGCATGCGGTTCCGCCCTCCATGTCGGCATTCCCCCCGCACGCTTCGTGGCCCCATAGGGTGCTCCATTGAAGGCCTTAGTTTCAGGGTTCGCATGCGGTTCCACCCCTCATTTCGGCTCACCTCTCACACGCTTCGTGGCCCCATAGGGAGTTCCACCGAAGGCCCCAGTGGCAAGGTTCGCATGCGGTTCCACCCCCATTTCGGCACACCCCTCACGCTTCGTGGCCACCCAGGGAGCTCTACCGAAGGCCTTAGTTTCAGGGCTCGCATGCGGTTCCACCTCTCGTTTCGGCTCACATCTCACACGCTTCGTGACCCCATAGGGAGCTCCACCGAAGGTCCCAGTGGTAGGGTTCGCATGCGGTTCCACCTTCCATTTCGGCACACCTCTCACACGCTTCGTGGCCTCATAGCTAGCTCCACCGAAGGCAGCAGGGGCTGGGTTCGCATGCGGTTCCACCTTCCATTTCGGCACACCCCTCACACGCTTCGTGGCCTCATAGCTAGCTCCACCGAAGGCAGCAGGGGCTGGGTTCGCATGCGGTTCCACCCCATTTCGGCACACCCCTCACACGTTTCGTGGCCCCGTAGGAAGCTCCATCGAAGGCCACAGTGGCAGGGTTTGCATACTATTCCACCCCCAATGTCAGCACACCCCTCACACGTTTTGTGGAACCATCGATAACTCCACCTAATTTCCCAGTGGCGGGGTTCGCATGCGGGTCCACTTCCATTTCAGCACACCCCTCACACGTTTCGTGGCCTCATAGGGAGCTCCACCGAAGGCACCAATGGCAGGGTTCGCATGCGGTTCTACCCTTATTCCGGCACACCCCTCACACGTCTCGTGGCCCTATAGGGGGCTCTAGCGAAGGCCCCAGTGGAAGGTTTCGCATGCCGTTCCACCCCCATTTCGGCACACCCCGCACATTCCACCGAAGACGATACTCTTTAACTGTGACACCCACAACCGCACATAGTTGGGTCCTTCGCCAGGCTAATTTTGTTGGGAAGGAATGCTGCACCCGAGACGCAGTGGAGATGGACAAACATGTGCCTTGATAGAGGTCAGACTTGATCCATATCTACTGCGCCTCGGGCTGGATTCATAAACCCGAGACGCAGTGGATCTGTACACAAATCCTGCCCGCAAGACGATGTGTACACAAATCATGCCCGAAATCCGAGACGCAGTGGTTTCAGGAATCCGAGACACAAATCTTTCCCGCAAGACAATGTGTTTGTTCATTCAGGGTGTTGTCCGGGCGAGATCTTCGATTTTCACCTCGGAAGATACCGACACGGCTGCCCTACCCTCGTCTCCATGATTGTATTCTTTTTCGACATCATGGAGTAACCGGAGGGGACGCTGAAGCCAGGTCAGTCGGACGTTTCGTCAGGGAAAGGGGGGCGAAAGAGCGGGAGGCGAATCAGGGGGCGAAACGGGGGGTGGGCGGCGAAAGACGGGGGGGTCGAAAGAGGGGGGGGTCGAAAGGGGGGGTGGGGCGAAAGGGGGGGCGGGGGGCGACACGGGGGGACCGAAGGTTGCAGGAAAGTGGGCCTGACGGGGCCCTAAAGAGGCTCCGAAGGTGCACGAAGGTGCCGAAGGTGCACGAACAGGTTTCGACATTGAGTGCCCGGAGGCGCCGCCTAAGCCAGATTAAACGGGCGTTTCGTGATGGGAGGGGCGATGCGTGGGAGGGGTGATCGAAGGTTGTAGGAAAGGCGTCCTAACAGGGCCCTAAAGCGGCCCCGAAGATGCACCACGAAATGTGCGCCTTCCCCACCCCTTCCCGTGTACCACTCCCCCATTCATTGAAACCCGAAGACCGAAGACGATTCGGTTTCAGTCAGTTTTTCCCCATCATCCTGTGGTGTTGTGTCCTCCTTTTGAAGGGAGAGCGCCCCGCGTCACCCCTCCCGCTGCCCCCTCTCCTCTCCTCCTCTCCTCTCCTCTCCTCTCCTCTCCTCTCCTCTCCTCATCGTTATCAGCATCAGCATCATCATCATCATCATCATCATCATCATCATCATCATCATCATCATCATCATCATCATCATCATCGTCAGCATCGTCAGTATCATTATCATCAGCATCAGCATCAGCATCATCATCAGCATCATCATCATCAGCAGCACCATCATCAACATTACCATCATCATCAACATCAACATCAGCATCATCAGCATCAGCATCATCATCGCCACCACCATCGTCTCCATCGCCATCACCATAACCATCATCATCATCATCATCATCATCATCATCACCATCACCATCACCATCACCATCACCATCACCATCACCATCACCATCATCATCATCATCATCATCATCATCATGAGCATCATCAGTATCATCCTCATCATAAGCATCACAAACATCACCATCATCATAAGCATTATCATCACAACCATCATCAGCATCAGCATCATCATCAGCATCAGCATCATCATCAGCAGCATCATCATCATCATCATCATCATCATCATCATCATCATCATCATCATCATGGCACCTCCATCACACGTTTCGTGGCCTCATAGGGAGCTCCACCTAAGGTCCCAGTGGCGCAGTCCGCATGGCGGCGCCGCCTTATTTTGGCACACCCCTCACACGCTTCTTGGCCCCATAGGGAGCTCCACCTACGGTCCCAGTGGCGCAGTCCGCATGGCGGCGCCGCCTTATTTTGGCACACCGCTCACACGCTTCGTCGCTCCATAGGCAGAGCTCCACCTAAGGCCCCAGTGGCGCAGTCCGCATAGCTCCACCTCAGGTCCCAGTGGCGCAGTCCGCATGGCGGCGCCGCTTTATTTTGGCACACCCCTCATACGTTTCGTAGCCCCATAGCGAGCTCCACCTGAGGTCCCAGTGGCGCAGTCCGCATGGCGGCTCCGCCCTATTGTGGCACGGCCCCATATGGAGCTCCACCTAAGGTCCCAGAGGCGCAGTCCGCATGGCGGTGTCGCCCTATTTTGGCACACCCCTCACACGTTTCGTGGCCCTATAGGGAGATTCACCTCAGGCCCCAGTGGCGCAGTCCGCATGGCGGCGCCGCCCCGTTTTGGCACACCCCTCACACGGTCAGTGGCCCCATAGGGAGAGCTCCACCTAAGGTCCCAGAAGCGCAGTCCGCATGGCGGCGCCGCCCCATTTTGGCACACCCCTCACACGTTTCGTGGTCCCATAGGGAGCTCCGCCTACGGTCCCAGTGGCGCAGTCCGCATGGAGGCGCCGCCTTATTTTGGCACACCCCTCACACGTTTCGACGCCCCATAGGGAGCTCCACCTAAGGTCCCAGTGGCGCAGTCCGCATGGCGCCGCCGCCTTATTTTGGCACACCCCTCACACGCTTCGTGGCCGCATAGGGAGATCCACCTAAGGTCGCAGCGGCGCAGTCTGCATGGCGGCGCCGCCCCGTTTTGGCACACCCATCACACGTTTCGTGGCCCCATAGGGAGCTCCACCGATGGCTATACTAACAACGCCGGTATGCACAACTGCATATGGTTACTGGTTGGGTCCTTCGCCAGTCTAATTTTCCCAAACATCCTGTGGTGTTGGGTCCTCGTTTTGAAGAGACAGCTCCCCGCTCCCCGCGACACTCCTCCCTTCCTTCCTTCCTCCTTCCCTCTTATTCCCCCTCCGCCCGCTCCTCGCATTCCCTACACTCCTCACATGTCTCTTGGCCCTATGGATAGGTTCACCGAAGGCCACAATGGCAGGGTTCGCATGCCGTTCCACTTTCAATTCTTGCGCAACCCTTGCACGTTTCGTGGTTCCATAGCGCTCTCCACCGAAGGCCCAGTGGCAGGGTTCGCATGCGGTTCCACCCCCCTTTCCACACACCCCTCACACGTTTCGTGGCCCTAGTGTGAATTCCACCGAAGGTCCCAGTGGCAGGGTTTGCATGCGGTTCCACACGCATTTCGGCACAACCTCAACGTGGTCCCATAGTGAGCTCCACCGAAGGCCCCAGTGGAAGGGTTCGCATGCGGTCAAGTCAAGTCTGGTCGAGGGGCCTGTAGGCCGCTCGCTCCGCAAGCGGAGACGGAGGGCGTGAAACAACACGGCAAGAAAACGCGCATGCAAGAGACATGGTGGAAGTCATATCGATGTAGAACTTTCTCTTACGTCATGCGTTCCACCACATGTAATTCAAGCATGCAGTATCCAACCGCTGCCAGGGGAAAGGCCCTTGGCGACCTGCAACATGTGATAAACTTGTACCTTGCCCTTGTCCTAAGAACGAATCGACGGCATCTGTCCATCTACGTCGCGGCCGGCCTCGGCGTCGAGCTTCGGGCGGGCGCCATCGCAACATTTGCGCTGGCCACGTTTGCGGGTCACCAGGGGCAAGACGCGCCACAAGGCGCCACAGGGAGCGATCCGTCACAAC